GGGTAGGAGGTAACTGAGCAGGTCTAGTAGCACAGGCTCCTTTCGGCCTCCACTGGCCTTTGTGTTGGCCCCCCAGGGCTCCAGCAGGGTTCTGGCTTTGGCATATCCTGCAGCTCTGTGGGGGAGGTGGGAGGTAGCTTTTGGTATGTGCAGCAAGGATCCTAAGCCTGCCCTTATCTTTGTAGCACATGTGAAGTCTTGCTGAAATTAGCTTGACAGGTTTTTCTACCCTGTTGAATTAGAAGCAGATGTTGTTTAAAAATGAGAATGAAGTGAGAACCTCGCAAGGTTTAGAGATTTGGCTTTATTTTGGAGGCTTTATTAAGGAGTAATACCCTCTGAACTTTGCAGCTAATGAACAACTGAAGAAAATGGCACTGTAAAGCAAAGTAATTCACCCTTCTCACTGAGAGGCTGCACGGATCAGAGCAGGTCAGCCTACACTGAGCTCTGAGCAGGATAGTTTTTGACATGGATACATCTATCTGAAGAAATTGTAATATTTCTTAGGTGCCTAAATGAAGGATTGAGAATTGCATATTGTCATGGGTTAGTCAGACACTCTCAGGAGAAAACAAAACAACTACTTCTGTGTTGAGAGAGATCCTAGACAATTGGTTATATAGGTGATTTTAAAAGTGAGAGCAGTTTCTATTGCTTCATCTTCACCTGAGCCACCCTGTTTGCAGATACTCTTGAAATCACACTATACAGGTTTGGATTCTTTGTTGCCACCCTGACTGGAAGTGTCATACAGCAAGCAGGGAGAAAAGCCTTTTCATAAAGCATACAGCCTGAACACATAGAAAAGACTTGGTGTAAACTTGTTTCTTTTCTTGCTGCATCAGATACTCCTGTTTGAAGGAGGAAATAAAGAGGTGTTTAAAATAATTGTGCTAGAAACAGGTTCTTTGATGTGTGTCTTCTGCTGTCAACCCTTTGTTGTTTCCTTCTCAAACTCCTCAAAGGGGCAGAAGGTTTCTGTCTGCATTTAGAAAATATTTCTGTAAGCCTTTGTCTGAATCTGCTATAGAGACAACTTCAAATGTTGAAATCCACTCTGAAATAAATCTGCCTTAATATAATTATTAATGAATTTGTGTGATTAAGTGTTTATGCTCTGTATCTGAAGTGCTGTCCTGAGCAATTGCCTGCTCAGAGATCAAGTGTAAGATCCTGGACTTCCAGAAAAGTATGCCTGCACTTTTTTATGTTACTAGAAAAGCATCTGTTTCTTGGGCTGGTTTTGCTAGGAATATCAATAGTATGGAAATCTGGGGTAAAATTACAGAAGGGGATTGCAGTGATGAATGTCTTCAGAGATGAAGAATGCAACTAATGGGAAGTTTTTCTCCAGATTCTTTAATTGAAAAATGCTGCTTTTGACATAAACACTTGGAATATTTCATTACAAACAAAGCTGCATGCTATCATGTCAACATTAACAGGAAGGAGTAAAAATACAGTCCAGAAAAAAAATGGAAAATATTCACCAATGTTAAGTCATGTGTTTGACCCTAAAGTACATAAGGAACAAGCTGAAGGCGTCTTTGAACCATGATCTTCAGGAATTCATGGAGAATGGGGACAGGTTTTGGCAGACCTGAAGCAAGCAAACATAGGACTTAGTCTTAAATGAGGGAGAGGCATGAGCAGAGGAGGAGAATCCATAGGGAATCACAGATTGGTTAGTGGGATCTTCATTGCCAGGACGATAGAGGTAGAATCTCCCAAAAATTGGTCTGTAAGAACCTAGAGAATTGTAAAAGGGTTCACGAAAAAGTGTGTATGTCAAAACCAGACTATGTCAGGCCAATCTGATTTAATTTTTTGCTGGAGTAATTGGCCTACTGAAAGGGAATGTTGCAAACTTTACTGGAGAGACATGGCAAGGTCCCACATGGAATTCCTGTGAGCACAGGAGCGGTGTTCTAGAGGAACTGAAGTACCAGGGTGATGTGTAACTGGTTTGATAAACTCCTCAGGTGTGAGTTTTCATAATGTCCTGGTAGACTGAGAGAACATGTCAAGCAGGGTGTTACAGTTGGAATAATCCTATGACTGCTGAGGAGATGAGAATGGAGATTTCTGTAAAATCTGTAGAGGAGAGAAGGCTGGGATGGGTTGCAGGCCTCTCTCTTTGATGAGATTGTAGTGAATGCTGTTGTAGGTCTTCATAGCCTACAGGGCTATGAAGCAGGGTTTTGAAATCACAAGAGCCTTTAAAAGAACCAGTCTCCTGTAGTGTAGTCAGAAGAGCGTAGATGCAGGTTCCTTTTTCTGAGACCTGCTTGCATCAGAGTGGTGTTGCTCTGTTGGTGAACAGTGGAGGGGTAGGATAGTCTGCCTGTGTATGGTGAGCAAAACTGACCCACCACAAGCAGCTGTGCTGCAGAGGTTTAGCTAAAAGGCTGCAACTGATGGAATTGCAGGTGGACCTGTGAGCTTACAGGCAACGTGAGCACTATTGTGTCAGTGAGGAAAACCTTCTTGATTTGTTGGAAGGCTTTCCCATTTCATTCAGGATCTCCAGCTTTATCTGGAGCATGCTTGAATGCTGCACATCAGGTCAAACATTGGTATCCCTTGGGCTTGGTGCTGTCCCAGAGTGGGACCCTCCACAAGGTCACTTAGGCTGCCCTGTGCATAGGTGCTAAGTGCTGTGCTAGGGATGAGGCCCTGCAAAGCACTGCAGTCACTTCTGGAACTGCAGCTTCAGTCAGCAAAACTAGCTGTTCAGTAGCTTTTGAAAATGGGCATTTCTGGCATTTCTGAAATTTTACTCAAGATTGCAGAAAGATTAGGTAATACCACCCAGCTCTTCCCCAAGAGCATTGCTCAACACTGAGTCTTGGCAGTTGTCTTTCTTTTGTCAAGAGCTCTCTAGCCCTGCAGAGAAGCAGTACGGTTAGTGAGGCTCTACCTCTCGTCCATCAGGACAACGAGACAGATGGATCCATTTAGCTTGGCTTCATAGTTCTCTCACTGCAAAGGTAAATGAGATGGCCTGCAATTCACACTTTGTGCATACATTAAAATAAATATTTTTTACACTTCTGTGCAGTTTTACAGACTCTCAGCATTAACTTGTGGAAGAAGGGTGTCTTTCAACTCCAGGACTATTAAATAACTGTCATCCTGGAATGATGATTAGCCAAGATTTATTGAGCATTGTCAGTGTCCTTAATGCCATATAACCACATCCATGGCATAAAAAACCTGTCATGTCAGGCTCTGCACTTGGGATGTGTGCTCAGAAGTAGTGCAAAAGGTGGCTGTTAATGACATTTTGTGAGGATTTTTATGTCAAAGTGCAGTTGAGGCACACAGTTTCAAAAACAGCTTATGGAGCCCCACTGGGTGGCAGCTATGGATGAACACTTTGGTATTTGGCCTAAATTAAAAAGTGAAGCCAAGAATTCTTTATCTTCCTTCCCATCCACAGCCTCTGCCCATCTATAACCAAAAAAAAAAGGATTATCTTATCATACAGTGAAAAAGAGTGTTTCTTTTCCCCTTCCCATTTCTTGTAACTGCCTTTCTTCCTTTTACACTGTTCTTTTTCCTTTAAGATTTTGTCATCAGCAGAGCTGGCCCACTGTTTTAACCTGTTACATGCTGTTCTCTTTCTAAACTACCTGAAAAAGCTACTGAGTGTTGCCCTTGAACTTGAGCATGCCCCCACTTTGGGAAGTAGATGATGTTCTAGTGTCTAAAAATGGATGTACCTTTGGGTTTTTTGGTATGAGAAATCAGTGTCTGATTTTATTTCAAGAAGAAAACTATTACAGAACCTCTGCAGAAGTTTGTGCATAATTTCCAACAGACTAGTCATGGTCCCTGTGGGATAAAATTCACTCCAGTCTACGCTGCTGAAGATTGTTTCTGCTCTGAATTTATGTAGGCCTCAACTTTTTTTGGTGGTATTTCGTTTTTTCTTAGAAATGGCCAGGGAATTCTGAGCAGAGAGTACATAATTGGCTTCTGCTTGCTGTATCAGTCTTTAATGCCTTTTCTCTCTGGTACAATTCCCACAATCAGTCATGTCCCTGTTAATGCATAGAGGCATGAAAACGGATTTCAGTTAATTGCCATGTACTAGCAATCAGCTTTTATTGGTTTGGGATTGGTCTTCAATGTGAGAATGACATTTGGGGAGCTAGGAAGAAAGGATATTAATCTTTTGTCTGTCAAAGTGCCTGAAAAAGGCATTGTTTTGCCTGTTTTCAGACTTGGGAGAAAGGCCCTGCACACGCTCGTGCTCACATACGTCATGCAAGAGAAAAACATTCTAGGCCTGCCTTTTCTGGGACCTTTCACAAGCTCTGACATGAAAAACATGGCAGAGTCAGTAGTGGAGCTGTCATACTGGCGTCAAGTTTGTGATAGGAAGGACTTGAAGCCCACAGGGCAGTCAGGAGAAGCTGTCATAGTTTAGGCAAAGCAGTTCAAAGACAAGACTGCAAGAATTACATAGGACAACTGATTTCAGCCTTGTGCCAAGAAAAGGCTTCTAAAGAAAGGGAAACAGAAAGTTACCTGGTTTACACTATTCTGTGTTTTATGTCTCTCGCTGCAATTGTCCTGAACTAAAACAATGTATAACCTGTAAGAAGTGAATTGGATTTTGCCATTCTTAACTTAGCTTTGAGCACCTCTTCTTGGAATGGGTGTGCTGGTTTCAGGGGGTGAGCTGTGGCAGAGTGAACCTCAAAGGACTGAATTACCTCAAGTCATAATACATAGTGGAATAGAAGTTCCTCTTTCTATTGAACTGATTTCTCTCTCTTCTTTGCTACAGGTGTTGGATGTGGACTTTAAAACAGTGTGTCTCAACATCTCATCCTCAACTATCTATCTTTAATCTGATTGCACTACAAAAGAGAAGCTGCTAATGGGATAAATGTTGAGGCTTTACAAGAACTGACTTGAAGCACCGAAAGCCATTACCTTATTAATCAAGAAGAGCTTGGAGCTAAGTCTGTATCTGACCAATCATTTTCACGTGACAGGCATGGCAAGTAAACGAAAATCAACCACACCATGCATGGTCTTAGCCAACGAGCAGGATCCGGATCTAGAAATGGTATCAGACTTGGAGGAAGGACCACCTGTACTGGCGCCAGCAGATAACCCTGCAGCAGAGAGTGTAACAAGTGATGAGGATGTTCATGAGTGTGTGAATTCAGACAATCAGAAGAATGCAAATAAAGTAGAAGGTGGCTACGAGTGTAAATACTGTAGTTTTCAGACTCCAGATCTCAATCTGTTTACTTTCCATGTGGATTCAGAACATCCCAACGTAGTCCTAAATTCATCCTATGTTTGCGTAGAGTGCAATTTCCTTACCAAAAGATACGATGCTCTCTCCGAACATAATTTGAAGTACCACCCTGGGGAGGAGAATTTTAAATTGACCATGGTGAAACGTAATAATCAGACAATCTTTGAACAAACAGTAAACGACCTCACTTTTGATGGGAGTTTTGTTAGAGAAGAAAATGCTGAACAGGCCGACTCTTCTGAGGCCCCCTCGTCAGGGATCTCCATTAGCAAAACTCCAATTATGAAAATGAAAAACAAAGCCGAGACAAAACGTATTGCTGTTTTCCACAACGTAGTCGATGACATTCCTGGTGAAGAAAAGGGAACTGAAAACGAGCCAAACTCTGAGGAAGTAGTAGAAAACCCACCACCGGTAGTTTCCGAGCCGAAAGTGAGCCACGAGGTGGCTGGTAGTGCAGCAGATGTGGCCAGCGCGGTCGTGACTCCAGCACCGGTGCTTCAGCCCGGGGTAGCACAGGTTATAACAGCTGTTACAGCTCCACAGAACTCCAACCTGATTCCCAAAGTCCTGGTACCTGTAAATAGCATTCCAGCCTATAATACTGCTTTGGATAACAATCCTCTTTTGCTTAACACCTACAACAAATTCCCATATCCGACCATGTCGGAAATCACTGTTCTTTCCACTCAAGCAAAGTACACAGAGGAACAGATTAAAATATGGTTTTCTGCCCAGCGTCTGAAACACGGGGTGAGTTGGACGCCAGAGGAAGTGGAGGAAGCAAGGAGGAAACAATTTAATGGCACAGTGCATACTGTGCCACAGACAATTACCGTTATTCCGGCACACATTTCCGCCGCTAGCAATGGTTTACCTTCCATTTTACAGACATGCCAAATAGTTGGTCAGCCAGGACTTGTTCTCACTCAAGTGGCAGGTGCAAACACATTACCAGTAACAGCCCCAATAGCATTGACTGTGGCAGGAGTCCCAAACCAAACACAGTTACAGAAGACTCAGATTCACACTGCTCAGCCTAGTGCAGAAACCAAACAAGTAGCTGCCGTCCCAGCCCCTCAGCCTATCAAAAATGAATCCACACTGATGAATCCTGACTCATTTGGCATTCGAGCAAAAAAAACTAAAGAACAGCTGGCAGAATTGAAAGTCAGCTACCTTAAAAATCAGTTTCCTCAAGATTCAGAAATTGTTAGACTTATGAAAATAACAGGCCTGACAAAAGGAGAGATCAAAAAGTGGTTCAGCGATACACGCTACAATCAGAGGAACTCAAAGAATAATCATGGGATTCATCTCAACAGTGATTCATGTGCCACCATTGTTATTGATTCAAGTGATGAAATGAATGAGTCCCCAACGGGAGTCACTCCACAGAGCAAGTCATCATGGAGCGGTTTTCCTGATTTCACCCCACAGAAATTCAAAGAGAAGACTGCTGAACAGCTGCAAGTCCTCCAAGCAAGTTTTCTGAATAACCCTGTCCTTACTGATGAAGAGATGAATAGGTTAAGAGCCCAAACTAAACTGACCAGGAGAGAGATTGATGCCTGGTTTGCAGAAAGAAGGAAATCAAATGTCTTAAAGGAAGAGGGAGCTGACTTGAATGAGAGCAATGCTGGCAGTTCAAAAGAAGAGGCTGGAGAAACATCTGTGGGAGATGGAGCCCCAGGAGCAAAATCAGGGTGTTCCACTTCAAGCAAAATAGGCAAAAAATCACCAGAGCAGTTGCATATGCTTAAAAGTTCCTTTGTCCGTACTCAGTGGCCATCTCCACAAGAGTACAACAAGCTGGCAGAAGAAACCGGGCTCCCAAGATCAGAAATCGTGAGCTGGTTTGGAGATACCCGCTATGCCTGGAAAAATGGTGGATTGAAATGGTATTATTATTACCAGAGCGCCAGTGCAAACAGTCTGAATGGCCAAGGCTTCTCAAGGAAAAGAGGGAGAGGAAGACCAAAAGGGAGAGGAAGAGGGAGGCCTCGGGGGAGGCCTCGGGGAAGCAAGAGGTTAAATTGTTGGGAAAGAGGTGTGTCCGTCATAAAATTCAAAACTGGAACAGCAATCCTGAAGGACTACTATATGAAGCACAAATTCCTTAATGAGCAAGACCTTGATGAACTGGTAGCCAAATCTCACATGGGATATGAGCAGGTCAGAGAGTGGTTTGCAGAAAGGCAGAGGAGATTAGAACTTGGGATAGAGCTGTTTGATGAGAACGAGGAGGAAGACGAAATGCTGGAAGAACAGGAAGATGAGGAAGAAACGGATGATAGTGATACTTGGGAACCTCCCCGACATGTTAAGCGTAAACTTTCAAAATCAGATTGACATGCAGTTTGGGATTTGGGGGCCAAAAACCTGTGAACTAGGTTTGATGTTACGGTGAAGGGCCAAATGATTTTTCATGGCCGTCAGTTTAGCAAGCACCTGCTTAGCATCTTCCTTCTGCCTAAAAGAACATGGGCAAGATGCTACCTGTGCAGGCAACAACTATTTGCTTCCTTGCTACAAGAGATGGACGTCCTCAGGCCTAGTCTAGCACATGAGTTTATAAATCGGATCCAGTTCAGCTCCTTCTCTTCCACATTACCAATGGGAAGGTTCATGTTTGTCATTCACGTGACTGCTTCTCAATAATTAATTGCCTTACGTTGTTTAATTCCAAAAACAACCACAGACACGTTTTTTCATTGATGTAGGAGAACGTTGCCTGTTCATGAAGGAGGAAAATACAGAAACCTAAGATGTGTCTTTTGCAAACGTCACTTCACCTCAAAGGTTTCAAGGCCTGGGTTTATTTCTTAAAGAAAGTGTTCAAAACACAAAGAGAAGGGGCAAAGTGTGACAAAGGAATCAATGACCCTAGGGGTGAGGTTTGCTTGGTTTAAGAAAATTAGGTGATATTGTCACCTTTTGCCTAGCTTCAGAGCGTTTTGGGTTTACAGAACTCACGCTGGAATGTTCCTTGTTGACACCTGAGCTAACCGAATGAATCTAATGCTAGAAGATGCTTTTTGTTACATTTAATCAGTGTATCCTACATCACTTTAATTTAAATGCCTGACAAACTTGATGCAGTTGATAGCAATGTTTGGTTTTAGCTTGTTCATTCTTTGTTGGAAATGGTAAGAAAAGTATGTCTGTTTCTACCTAAAATGAAACATTTCTTGAGATCTTACACTGAATTTAAAGGTAAACACGAGGCGGGAACTGCCTATAAGAGTTGGTGTGGGGTGTGTGAGAACACACAGATAGAGAGACCAAATGTCTTGGGGTGCTAGTAAGAAGTGTTTTCATGTACATTGTGGTGATGACAGGATGTTTAATTCTCCAACGAAATGAAGTTAATGTGGCTTTTAGATGTTTAGGAATGATAAACATACTAGTGTTTAATTGCTCTTCAGCAATAGCCCAGTTGGATTATTCGTGTGCAGGTTTAACTGAAGTTGATCCTAATGGATTGAGGTCTCGCCACTGTGGGGATTGTGCTTAGGGCCGTGGGGTGAATGCACTTAATTCTAGAGGCTGTTTGATCTGTCTGAACTGAACTCCAGAAACGGTTTGATCTGATAAAAAACTTCAACATTTTGAATAAGTGTCTTTAAAACAAAGAAGAAAGAAAAAAAAAAAAAAAGCCATTTCAGACATTGAAATAACAGTAGAGTTTGAATTAGGAACTTTAAAAAAATGGGTGAAATTCATGGTAGTTAGTTTAGGCATTTAGAGAACTGGTGCTCCTCTGAGGAAGAGTAATTTGTGTTCTTGCTACTGTCGGTGTGCATTTTTTAGGGATAAGTTACTTTTTATTTAGATGTCAAAGAGTGATGATGAATTAGTTCTGCTGTTGCCAGCACTGTCTGCTTTTATGTTGGCACTAATGGAAAGGATGCTAGCAATCTCATTTTGCACAATGGGTCAGAATCTTCTCTGTAGGCTTCTGCATCTGATGACCAATAAGAGACAGATTAGTGTAGAGAAAATGTGCCCTCATGTTTCCACATTTCTGAGAACCTAGTTTGGAATTACTCTTTCTTCTAGGATAATTGTCAAAAAAACAAGAAAGTAATTTCAGGCATGATTTTCTGAAGCAGAGGGGTCAATGTTAGATTTGTTTTTAATACCTGCTTGGGACTGAAACCCAGGTCAAAGCATGAAAGGAAGTAACATCTGACCAAAAAAAAAAAAATACTGGTAACTCATTTTCCTCTCTGGGCACTTGTATCTGTCCTTCTACTCCCGGGTTGAAGAGGCTGCCTGAGCTGCAGGAGGATGTTGTATATGAAAACCGTTTACCAGGGTGACCTCTTCTGACTATTTGAGATTGCTGGGAAGCAAAAGGCAATGGCTTTTGGTATGTGAGACAAATTGGCTGATGAAGCTGGTATCTGGCTTACAAGACTCCAGTTGGCAAGGCACAAAGTGGCCACCAGTGCTAGAGAGGACTAGCCAAGAATCAGTTTAACTTTGGGGTGGGGTAGAAGCAAAACTGCATTGTCAGCCTATTTCATTGGAGTGATTGTGGCTCTGGATGTGAGGTGCTGAGAGAGAGATCAACATCTGGCCTTATCAGCACTGACTGCTCCGTGTGGTTGGGAGGTATTGTTGTTTGGCTGGTAACTGTATGGATGAGGCTCTTGTAGATGTCAGCAGATACAAGAAAGACTCATGTTAGCTTCAAGCTCCACTGGGAATAAAAGGTCAAAAATCAGTGCTTGCTGGGTGGGAAAGGACAAGGCTAGTAGGGGAAAGAGATGCTATTTTTAAGTTTCCAAAAATATTTAAGCACATCTCTAAAATCCTTGGGAATATGCCTCTAGCAAGAAAAATCTGGAGTTGCCTTAATCCTTAAGGTTGACCCAGAATTACATTTTTTACATTAAAAAAAAACCCAACAAACACAAACAAAACACCTAAGCAATGTGTCCAAATAAACATTTCCAATTTTTCTTAGCAGAGACTGCATTTAAGTTAGCATTAAATCCAACCTTCTTTAAAAGATGGGAAAAAATAAAGACCCAAGTTAATTATATGATTAAACTGGGAAATTTTCCATTTTGGCAGTGTTATGTTAAATAACACTCAGCTAATATGGTAGGCCTTAGCACATCTGGCCTGAAAAACACAGGAAGAGGAAATACATTGTTTATCAGACTAAATATAGTTGGATTGGATGTCTTCTTTCAGTAAAATGCTCAGAGATTGTGGCAGATGTATACTGGGCCAGATTGTGCATTCCTGTAAATATTCCAGTTCCATGTACTCCAGTGATTATAATAGTATTTTCAGCCCATTGAGGAACATCATCTCTTTGCAGAATATAAAATGGAAGTTAAACTGTGTGCTGTGAGTCAGCCAAGGGGAGATGCAGAGTACCCATATTTCCTTTGGGCTAACCTAGCATTGTAAGCCTTCCAGGTTTGCCAAGAATAGGAAAAACCTGGGTGGGTTCAGCCTGAAGACAGCAGTTGTGTACATTCAATATTGCTCATAGTCTATCTCTTACTTCTGTTTGCAACAGAGTCCATTAATTACCAGTTTATTTCATGTTTACAGCATGTATGTATTTGCACTGCATGCTGGGAGAGAGGGAAGCTCCTTCCAGAGACCTCCCTCATCAGGACTGACAGGAGAGGCATTGGAAAGAGCTGTCAGCATGTTGGTCTGTTATTCCTGTGAATTGTGGCCATGATTGGTGGGAACTCAAAGCTGCTGGTAACAGTGATTTAGCTCACATTTGTCTCAGCCAACCTCAGGCTGCTGTGCTCCTTAACTAGGTGCACTGGGCACACTCTATGTAGTCACTGAGAAGCAGAAATCGCCTGGTGGGCAGAGAGGGTAGAGCATGGGACCTTCTCCCTCTATCAGTTATATACAGGAAACTTCCTGAACTTAATCACATCAGCAATCACATCATTTATGATGAGTCTGAGCATCACTCTGCTCATCAGAGGAGCGTCCCTGCACCCTCCTGTAGCTTCTGCGCACTCACAGGATGTTTTGGAAGCCACTTGGACTTAGCTGTGTTGACAGTGGGGAGGGAAGGAGCCTGGGTGTGTTTTCTGTATTTCTGTGGAGCCTCTTAGGTCTGAGCTAGTTATGAGCCAGGCTTCAGTGTTTGTCACTTACAGTGGAGAAACTCTGATCTTACTCAGACCTTACCTCAAGGTAGTTGGTTTGTTCTCAGTCTTTATTGGGAGCATCCTTTCAGAATTCAGCTGTGAGCACCACTTCCTTTAGAGCTAAGGTAGAGCTTTTCTCTTCATCTGCAGTTTCTGCCAGGAGTACCTGATCTGATGATGCTAGTTACTGCTGTCTGTGGAATTAATCTGAAGAGAGAATAAAGATCCTGTGCCAGAATGGAGAGAGAGAACAGCTAAAAGAAAGCAAGCAGTGCCACAACCGGGTGAGGCATTCACCATGACTGTGTCATGCTGCTTCATGGCGTGGTACAGTTTTGCTTCTAAGTACAGTGAAGGAGTACAGTTTCATCTTAAACTGTCCTGTCTTCCCAGGATCAATCTGTCAATGACCCTGAGGTTAGTGTTGTAAAAAGAATGTCAGACATATTCCTCCCTGGAGATTTGAATGAACTAACAGATTGCTGGCTTGTAAGAAGTGGAAGGAAGGGGAAATGCAGAAGCTTGAAGGCTCTTGACTTTTGCTTGCCCTGCAGAATTCATTTACCCAAAGTTAATAAGCAGAACAAGTCTTACTCTTGCCATTTTGACAGAACAAATATTGCTCATTTTACCACACAGAAATTTCTGTTTTGTTTTGAAAGCAAAGGAGAAGGAAGATACCTAATACCTCATCATTAGAATGTAGTGGATTATCGCTAATATGCTATCGTAAATGAGGCCATTCCCTATTTTAACCTTGTCCAGTACCATTTTAAAAACTGTTTTTTCATTACATTATATGCAATATGGTGTCTGGCTGTAACTTTGATTATTGGGAAGGAAACTCCTGCAGTGTCCTCACATGACCTGAAATAATTTTTCTAATGCATGATTTGCTGACTTTGGCCAAAAGCCTCTTTTCTTCCTGCTGGCCAAGGAACTCTTGAGGCAGACAAATGCACTCCCTTCTCCTCTACAGAGCAGAGGAAGCATTTCAGAGCCCACACAAAGTGATTCATGGCCTTTTGCAGTTGACATAGGCCAGAAAGCCCAAAGATGCAGACATTCTCTTCCTCCCCTGTTTCCCTCTGAAACGAGAACACAGCAGTAACTTTGACAACTAGTCTCTGGCTGCTGAGTAACCAAGCTGTATTTGATGGTGGGTAGCATTTTCCCTTTTGCACTTAATGGAGTACTGTGTATTCAGGC